AATCGATATTTTTGCAGAACTGGATTACCAATGAAAAGGCTAAACATAAGCCTACAGCACCAAGAAGACCAACAACAGCTCGGACACGCATCCAGACAACGAAACGTGCGCTGTCAGGATATAATGTTTTTATGAAAGAGTTTTTTCAAAAAACTAATATCGATGGTAATTGATTTTGTCTTATTGCCTTTTTTTTTTTTTTTTTTTTTTTTTTTTTTTTTTGAGATTTGCAGCTACTAATGAGTATTGTTCCAGATTATTTGAAGGAGCACACAGACATTATCATCGAAGGCCTTGAGGGGCTCAAAAAGACAAACCGGATTGCTGGATATGCATGGCATAATCTAAGCACTAACGAAAAGGATCGTTATAGAGAACGGGCCAATCAATTGGCTCAAAAAATTAAAGATGGTAAATAATGCAAATTTATTATGCAATCACGCATTAGTCTTAGCAACTTAATAATAATAATAATAATAAACTGTTAATGTAGCCTCAAAACATTATATTACGGAGAATGACACTAGACAAAGTGTGATCAACTCTACTTTGGAAACGATTTACAAACAGGTATGTAAGATGTTATTGTGTATAATAATAATGGTTATTATTATGTTGGCAAAGATTCACTGACTGAATGGACCGAAATTTTGTCACACCAACAGTTTAAAATCCTGCGTACACAAAATTGTCATACCATTCTCACAGTGTGCGATGGTAGGCACAGAGCGTTTACGCTCCACTGTGGTGCAGGTGCCCGAGTGCTTGAAACCTGGCAAGAGGCTCAGTTAGAGCCGAATACTCTGATTGAAGCAGAAGGTTTGAGTGCTAATGCAAAAGCTCGAGCTGAAGCGTTGCGATTGGCAACACTTGAATCAGAAGAGGAAGAAGGTAAATTTGTTGTCGCTCTTTTTTTTTTTTTAGAAATGAAAAAGGAAATTAACTTATGGTTGAAAAATTGGTGTCTTACTTACAGGTGCAAGTGATTTGACGGACGTGGAGTATAGCAGTAGTGGAACAAGTGACGAAACTGTCAGTGGAGAGGATAGCGAAGCAGAAGAGAGTGAGGATGGTAAGTCTGTTGTTTATCAATAACTACAGCATTTATCATTAGAAGACATCAGAAGTTAATACTTTGTTTTTATTATTTCAGAATCTGCAGTGATGTCCGAAGGGGTAGAGGAAATTTTTGTTAGGCGCTCTAAAAGATTGGAGGGGAAAAGGGATTTGTAATACAACAGCAGAATAAAGTTTATTATTTATATATGTTATTATACTGCAACAGTCTATTATATAGTTACACGACATTAGAACATAAATGGATTGTTATGGTTTCACCAGTGGGAGTCCCTTCACGTTAGTTCAACTTCTCTTCTAAAGTTGGAAATCTGATCTACATAAGGATTGCATTTGTTGTCTTTAGCCAACCTCATCGCCAACAACGCATTTTCAATATTCATTTAGGTAAATATACACAAAAGACAGTGCAGACTGGGCTCATTATTTTGAATGTTATGAGGAGACTCATTATGCATAAACCTTTTTGACATACTAATGTATATATGCTAATGTCGAGCCAATACTCGGGGGAGAGCGGAACGAATATTGACCTTGGGATTTAGTCTTTTTCCAATGAGGTCCTTGATTACCTCTACTTCGATAAATCCGCTAATGACAATCGGTGACCTTTAAGTTGGGTTTATATGCTCACGATGCTGGGTTCGAATCTTGCGTACGCCTTCTCTGGATTTATAATTAACCTCGAGTAAATACGTCTATTTCTCTCGGTGGGAT